AACAACACCTTTAATCCCGGATTGCTAGTCCCGGTTGAGAAACCGGGAGTAGAGCTAGTTTCCAACCGGAACTAGATCTCATTTATGTAGTAGTGATAGTATAACACACGCTCATATATATAGTATCGTGGTATTATGTTTTCCTGTTGTAACGCACGGACATTTACCTATGCTACATACTCTATAATTGTATTACTATGGCCTGCAGGCCACAAAAGTTGTTTTTTTTAAACAATGGCATGAGCTCTGCCTTTCAATTAAGACGAATGAAGTTTTATGTACATGAAAGGGTAGCCCAATGTGATGCCAAGCACCACAAAAGGCTAGCCCACCCACGCGACGAGACAGAGTACAACACCAGACGACCCACCCTACGAAGCCAGGCAGTCAGGCCCGAAGCAAGAGGTCGCAATAGGTCATCGTTGCCAAGCTCAAACACGTCGCGAAGAGCAGCTCCGACTTCGTGTCTTGATCCCATGCCCCGCCCATGGCAATTGCCGGGCCTCCCAAGATGAATCACAGTCGTCGAAGAAGGGGTTCGCCCCCCGTGTCATCGTTGCCGAGCCACACCTCCCTGATGCGGTAGCTCCGACTTCACGATGCAGTTCCCGCCGTCTCACGTCGACTGGGCACCAAGAAACACATAACAATCACCGAAGGCGACATCGCGGCCAAGACGAAACTTCCAAAAGCAACGCCTTCAGGAAGGGAACGACGCCGATAGCGCCGCCATCGCTCGTCCAAGGAATGGACTGGGTTTTCACCCATGGAAGGCACTGCTGGAGGGGTACATGACGCCCCCAACAAGGAAAGCGGCGCCCGCAGGCGTCACCGTCGCCAAGGCTTTCACCCAAGGTGCCCCTCAGCACGTACGTCAGGTCAAGATGCCAAAATCATATCCTGCCTCCAGACCTCCACCGTCGTCGTCACCACCCAGCCATCCCATTGAAGCCCCTCGAGAGGGGCATCGACACACCGGCTGCTCACAGCAGCCGCACAGCTACGTCGGTTGCCACCCCTCTGTCCCGGGCAACGAACAGAACCGGCCTTACCCTACGTGGGCGTCACACTGCCGCACACCAAAGCCGTCGTCGGCTGCCATCGCTAGCCGAAGCACCCGACGTCGACGTAGCTGACCTGAGGTAGCCACCATCGAGCGCATGCTCCACCCACCGTGGGCGTCGGATCTGGCCGCTAAGGCACTGGACCCTATACCCCTAGCTGGCTCCGCCGCCTCCACCATGGTTGCCGCCATCGCCGGATCCGGCCTCTTAGGCACCAGATCCGCCCGCCCGGGCTCTGAAAGTGGCTCAAGGTGCGCCGCCGCCGCTGCCATGGACGAGGAAGAAGGAGAAAGTGGAGGAGGAAGAAGAGCCTCACCGCTGCCGCCCGGAGCCAGCACGAGCACTGCCCGGCGCCGCCGCATCCGTTCGCGCAAGGGCGCCAGCCGGCCTGCTGCAGCGCATGCCGTCGCCACCGCCGAGCACAAGAGAGAGAGCCCCGCGTCGCCATCCCAGCAAGCCGCGCGGCCCTGCCGGCGGCCTGCTCCAGCGGCGGCGCGGCAGGAGAGCAGGAAGATAGGGCGGGCGGCGCCTAGGGTTTGGCCACCGCTCGTGTCGCCCACGGGGAAGGCAACGCAGGGGCACACGGTCGAGTCGGCATGCCAGCTCGGCCACAAAAGTTGTCATCTTACATAACTTGATCTCCATTTTTCGTACTCTTGTTGCAATGAAAAAATTGAAGCTTCCATAGCAACGCACCGGCATCTGCTAGTCTGAAATGAAAAACCCAGTCCTGAAAGGGCCGCCCGTTGCTTTACTGTTACTGGGCAATGGACATCAATAAAACTACCGCATAAATTTTGGTTCATACACAAAACAGCAACGGGCGTTAGAGATGGTATCAATAAAAATTTGCTTTATCTTCCTTAAGCTTGGGTGACTATCTTCTAATGGTCTAGCGTTTAGTTCGGTCCATAAGTGTTTTTTTTATTATTTTCTTATTGGTTTTCTCTTTGAGAGTTTGTTGCCATTAGTAGGACACTGAACTTGTAATAAGGAAGGGTTGATTAAGTGATGCCAGAATAAAAAAAAACTCTATCTTTTTAAATGCTCTTGCACATCTATTAGCAGACCGATTGAGTATGCAACAATATATCGTTGACATCCTCCAGAACCTCCTCGTGAGGGACTAGCCAGATGTCAACCGTTTATATGTTTAACCAAGTAATTAGATGTGCAGGTTCATCGTACGAGAGTACGTCACTTAGAACCAGAGATGCCAACGAGGAAATTTTTGTCGGGGATGGCTTTACATCCTCGTCCTGAAGCGGAGAAAATCCCACTGTCCCCCCTGTGAACACTGTCGGGAGGCATTTTACTCCCATTCTCGCCCCGTGCTGGGAACTTATCCATGTCGGCTCCCCGACCCCGTGAATCCAAGCAATCAAAGCTCCTCCTCCTTATCCATCCACTCTCCATAGACTGCAACGTAAGGAACTAAGGACACATGTGCCATCTTTTAATGAGAAAAATTCTCCTCGAAAAATCGGGGATTAGGTCCTAGCATTATATATGGATGCTCCTCATGTCACCTCACTTGCTAGCAACTAACACTAGCTGCCTTGTAACTGAAGCACCACGCACTATGGACTAAAATCCTCCGATCTTCCAAGGCTTGGGCCATCCTTCACAGGTCACAGCCTCACTTGGGCCTCGTTTAGATTGCAAATTTTTACAATCTGGACATCTGTAGCACGTTTCGTTTGTATTTGACAAACTTTGTCCGATCATGGACTAGCTAGACTTAAAAGATTCGTCTCGTGAATTTACAACCAAACTGTGCAATTAGTTATTTTTTTTACCTATATTTAATGTTTCATGCATACGTCCAAAAATTGATGTGATGAAGAAAAAGTAAAAAAACTTGGAACTTTGAGGCAATCTAAACAAGGGCCTAGATGTCTCTAAAACTGACGCCTAAATTGTGGCTCGCGCTCAAATGGCTGCACGCATAGTATTTTTCCATACGTATTTTTTGGTGGACCGAACGGGCACGCAACAAACTACCGCAGAAGTCGTTCCAAAATTCCTCATCAGGTACAGAGGCCAAATTAAATGGACCTTCGTTCTAAGCGTACGTGTCGAATGCTTATACGTTCAACGGATTATTTTTACCCAAACTGTTGTTGTTAGTGACGCTTTTTAATTAGTTACATATTACATATATACCGCGCAATGCAAGTTCATCAGCCGTATATCAGCACCTTGAATTTACGTACATTTTACTCTATGAAATCTATGGTAATAAGGCTGCACTACGTCAAATGGTTGAAGTATTGAACCACGACTAATGCGTCCGATCGACGTATAATTCGTCGCGCACTTGGGCCTGATGCCGATGCCGGTCGCTTTTCCCGTGGTTTACCTTTACACCGCAAGGGACGCACTACCCGTGGTGGCCACGCGCCCATCTGATCTTTTTTGACGCGAGTGGCCGCACCACGCACATTTCCGCAGTTTTAATACGAAGGGACGAAACAGCTCTCGTCTCCATCGAATATTTTTATGTCTCCCACTCGGCACTTTGGCCGCCATTTTTTAAATAAATCACTAGTACAGTTTTTCAACCATTGCCATGGTCGAATGGCCGAATGAACGAAACTGCCGTGCTGTGCTCGACGTGGACTTCTACCACCAGCACTATTAAAATTTAAATCAATGCTAATGCTATCCCCACGGGATCAGTGCTACTATACCCTAATAATGGGCAGTAATGCGTTCTGACTAGACAACGCTAATTATTAGGTCTGGCCAAAAAAATAACCATATCTCATGGATGATTTTATTGGATTTTTATTTACATATAGGTACATATCTCGATGCATGTACCGGTCATGCATTCATACTCCATATTTTAAAAAGATTATGTAAATACCATATCTCATGGATGATTTTATTGGATTTTTATTTACATATAGGTACATATCTCAATGCATGTAAGGGTCATGCATTCATACTCCATATTTAAAAAGATTATGTAAATGAATTAAGGCATTCATACTCCATATTTAAAAAGATTATGTAAATGAATTAAGGATCAGTTTAGCGATCCTCCGGCCTCTCCCAAAGGGCTCCGGTTACTCTTGTGAATCAACTGCTCTAGTGAGACTGAAGCCGTTTTGGAAGACATTTAGCAAAAACAACTTCCGTGACAGTTTTGTTATAATTTATATTAGATTTATGAGGAGTCAGAAAAAACCATGTTTTCACAACTTTGGCTCCTGAGTAAAAAAAAAAACAGCTTCTGCTTCTCTAAACATTTTGGAATGAGCTATTTTGATACCCACCGTTTGGTATAGATTCAGCACAAGAGCCGCCAGGAACCGAAGCAGGCGCCGTGCTAATCGAGCCTTAAGTGAATTAATAATCAAAGAAATATAACGAGATTGCGGGGCGCGTGCCACGTTGTAGCTTTTTTTTTAAGTGTGGGATATGTGCAAGGCATCAACTAAAAACACAGTTTTGAGGCGTGCGTGGAATCCGCGATGCGCCTCGCGTACACTCTAGACTCTACATCTCAGCATGGGGCGCGTGCTCGCCACAGGCGACGCGATCGCAGCCGTCCGTCTCTGAGAACCCTAGCTGATTCCGCTATAAATACCCCGCCCCGGGGCGTGTGGCAGCCACGCACCCATCCCCATCCATCGACCGATCTCACCTGCACACTCCCCCTTGGCCTCCTCCAGTCCTCGATCGATCGGTTTGCTTCCTTCCTTGGAGATCCATTTCCATGGACCTTCACCTCAGCTCCCAGGTCCACGCGCTGCGGCGGCGGCGGCGGCCGCAGCCGCAGCCTCCGCCTTTCCGAATGGTAAGAAGGTGGAGAATGACGTGCTGCCACCGGGGGCTGTCATCCTCGACGTGGAGGCGGGTGCGGCGACGAACGCGGCCGGGGCCGATCCGCGCGACGTCGTCGACGGGGACGCTGGCGTCGACTACATGGCCCGCGCGCAGTGGCTCCGCGCGGCCGTCCTCGGCGCGAACGACGGGCTCGTCTCCGTTGCCTCCCTCATGATCGGCGTGGGCGCCGTGAACGCGACGCGCAAGGCCATGCTGGTGTCCGGCATGGCGGGGCTCGTGGCCGGCGCCTGCAGCATGGCCATCGGCGAATTCGTCTCCGTGTACGCGCAGTACGACATCGAGGTGTTGCAGATCAAGCGCGACGGCGAGGAGGAGGAGGAAGGCGCCAGGGACAGCCTGCCGAGCCCGACGCAGGCCGCGGTCGCGTCGGCGCTGGCGTTCGCGTTCGGCGCGCTGCTGCCGCTGCTGGCGGGGGTGTTCATACCGTCGTGGGCCGCCAGGGTGGCCGCGGTGTGCGCCGCGACCAGCGTCGGCCTGGCCGGGTTCGGCGTGGCGGGCGCGTATCTGGGCGGCGCCAACATGCTGAGGTCCGGCCTGAGGGTGCTCCTGGGCGGCTGGTTCGCCATGCTCGTCACGTTCGGCGTGCTCCGGCTGTTCGGGACGGTGTTCCACATACAAGTCTCATCGGCGTGATAGCCCTCGGGCTTGGGCTGTGGTGGCAAAGGAATAATGAGCCAGGGGCCTAGCGCTTGACATCGGAATGTGAAAACCTGCATGTCTTGAGTAGCAAACTAGTGGTCGCCTGGATAGCGAAATGAGGAGGAATAATTAAGGGGTGTGTCGGTGTGTGGGTAGTGGATGTACTGCTTGATTGTAATGTTATCTCGTGCTAATGGTATCTGACGAGAAAATCGAAAACAGAGTGTATTCTACTGCTGCTCGTCTACACACTTGCCTATTGTTTGTGTTTAAGTTAATTCCTCATGATCTTGAAGGCTCACATGGTACATATGCGCAATGCCGTGGTTTGTGAAAGTCAAGCTATACACGTTTTCGTTTAATCTGCACTTTACAAAAGAACTGATCTTCTCAACATACCCATGAAACTGAATATCACAAACAGTACAAGAACAACAACAAATAGATATTTTTATTTGGTCAGATAAAGTTAAAGTCGATACGCTACAGCAGGGGCTATCTGAAACTTGTGCCTTTTCTTCCGGTTCCGGTTGATCAGCAGAGACTTTTAGCCGCTGCTGCTAGTCATAGGCAATCATACAAGCAATTCTCTTTTGGAAGTGATGAATGGCATTTTCTTCCAACATCCTGGCTAAAGATGGATCCAGTATGATGAATTGTCACGCACTGCACCTCAGTTATCATGCTTGAGCACCTATATACATCCTGACGACGACGGTTGGATGCTGAACAATAAGTAGGCCGATCTGGGATAATAAAACAAACAAGAATGTCGTAGTAAGAGATATTTCTTTGCCTGAATGATGAACTTGTAGTGGACAATCCGGGTAAAGTTGGACCTTGGAGTACCCGCATAATCTTTACTCAAAGTGCTTATTGTCATTGTCCTTTTCGCACTTGGTTTCTCCAAGATAATGAAAGTTAGCTAAAAAGCCATAAAGGATGAACCTTTTTTGTATGTTACTTGACATCTGATTTTTTTTCCTTAGGTCATATTTGGATCCACCTAGTGCTAATAGCTAGCTAGCTAAGAGTATCTCCAAAAGTCTTTCTTAAATTTACTCTCAAAATCATCATTTAGAGAGCTATTCGTACAAAAATCCCTCTCTATATCTTTCCACCCTCCAATAATTTTTCTATATACTTGTGCGCACTATAGAGAGCTAATTCGGTCTCCATCTTTGGCTAACAAGAAATCTGGAATAGAGGATAACAATATTTAGGGATCCAATTGAAAAGTTGTTAGAGTAAAAAAAATTCAACAAAATCTTTATTCCCGACAATAAGAAAGGATATAGAGAGGCCCTTGAAGTTGCTTTAATAACTACTAACTATTAGTAGCTAGTTATTAGCGAGATCTGTTTGGATCCCCTGCTAATAGGTGGTTGGATAGTTGATCAGAGGTTTATGAACTATTAGCATCCTCCATCTACTAAGGACCTTTTTGGATCCATTAGTGGTAATAGTTAGCAATTAAGATTAGTACTAGTGGATTCGAATAGATATGCTAATAGACCAACTATATTAGCTAGAGGGCCGTTAACTATTAGTTCCACTAGCAGGTGCTAACACTATATTAGCAAAATATTAGTAAGTGGATATTGAAACAATCTCTGCTAATAATTAGCTAGCTAATAGTTAGTAGTTATTAGCTAGCTAAGAGCAACTCCAAGAGACTCCTTATATCATTCATAATTGCTAGGAATAGAGATTTTGATGAAAAAAAAATCCTCCAACAGCTTCTTTATTTGGTTATCTAAATATAGTCACCTAATTCTATTATGAATTTCTCGCTAGCTAAAGGTAGAAAACGACAATGACTCTCTAGAGTGCACACAATATATAGAAAAACTGTCCTCCTTGGCTACATGGAAACAGTCCTTCGCGAATGAAGTTAAGCTTCATTTGCACAAAATCAATCCTGCCTTTCACCTGTCTGTAATGAATTGGCTCAACTCTTTATAGTTTTGGTCTTCTTTTCTGTTAGAGTTTCCTCCTTTTAGTTAGCTCTTGGCTAATTCCTTTGTAAGTTTCCTAGCTTGTACTCTCTCTTGTTTTTTAATATCTGTTGCTCCACAGTTTCTGGTCAAAAAAAAAAAACTGATGGAGGGTGTAAAGATATAGAAAGAGATTTTTTATGTAAATGTTTCTCTAAATGATGATTTAGAGAGTGAGCTTTAGAAAGACTCTTGGAAATGCTCTAACTATCAGTAGTGGATCCAAATAAGCCCTAATGAGCAAACAGTTAGCACCTTCACTTGCTTAATAGTCAGCAGACTTCTATTTGAATCCCTACCTGCTAATTTTAGCTTGTAACTACTAGCACTAATAGATCCAAACAAGCCTTTAAAAATCTGAATTCTTTGTAGTAAAACGGAGTTGCATACATGCTCATGAACACGGTGCTATGCGGCCGGAAAAACCTGCTTCTAGTAAAAGCACACCCAGACTTCTAGCTTCTCAGGCTATAGTAGTAGTAAAAAAAGGATGTTCTTGCTTCTCGAAAACTATAGCCAGAAGTCAGAAACTCAGAATCCAACAGAAGCATAAACGAACAATCAAACGTGGTATTCAAAAACTATAGCCGGAAGTCAGAATCCAATAAAACCGGGACAATTAGCTTCACGATTCTAGCTGGTGCATCATTTCAGAATCAAGATCAAACAATCAGTTTCGGACATTCTTGCCACAAGGCTTTCTGGCTTTGTCATGGACTGTTAAAGTCCGTGCGAGTACAGTGGCTATCTTGTTTTTGTGGCCAACTGCCAATGGCCATGCCCATGCAGGGTATAGTTTCCATACCCTGATACCAGTGCCGTCTGCCGACGAGGCGGCGACCGGCGTCGAGCGTCGTTCGGAGTCGCACCGTTCCCGTGGTCGCCACACGCCACATTCCCCTAGTTTTGTTTTAGACCAGGTAGCGTGTCCGTACGTTGCTACGGGATAACTAACAATTTATACTAAAAACACACGGATCGCACGATAAGATAACAATACTGTTAAATTAAATATCAACGTTAAAGTGACATTTAATCAAAAAGCAAAGTTTATGAATTTAACATAGTCACGGAGTGCGCGGCGTCGCAGGCTCACAAACTCTAGAGCTTCCAGAGATTGGGTTAAATCCAACCTAGAGCCTCGGAACCCTGCATCTTTTCCTAGACGGGCTTCACTTTGGATGCACCGGTAGCGATATCAACGATCTCCAGTCGATGGACCAAGTCATATGGATCCCCATACAATAGCTCAGACATGTAGATTTTGTTCTCCTTGTACTTGGATTCCAGGTACGGATCTTCAGTCGTGGAACGTGCTCACCATGGCACCCATAATGTGCAGCTCACCGTTTGATTCCAGGTAGCTGCGGTGGCAGAGCCCTGCAGGTGGCGACAGCGATGGCAGCAGCGTCACGATTGGAGTAGCGCCGCCGGCGTTGCTGCTGCAGACGGAGATTTCTCCAGTGCAGTCGATCATCAAGAACTTGTCTTGGCAGTGGACGATGGACCCCACGGAGAACTCCAGTTTGGTGTCGAGCAGCGTCCATGCGCTGTCGACTCTAACCCGGCAGAACGCGACCTCCATGGAGCACCCAAACATGGCCATGGCCACGCACTCGCGGCTGGCGGCGTCAGGCGGCGCCGAGAGCACGATTTCATGGAAGAACATGTCCCTCATGTCTTCTAGCTTGATGGCTCTGCCTATGGCATCCGCGTCCCCGTAGCCGTTGGTGGGATGGAGGACCCACCGGCCGTGGACCCTAGACACGCGTTCCGATGACACTACTGGAAACTCGAATATTTCTGTGTGTGTAAAAACCCACGGAAAAATTCGAATACCCACGGAAAAATATTTTTTTGACGGTGTATCATCAGAAAATAACACACAGAAATAGAATGATAGAAAAATCAAATTTTTCCGTGGGTTCATCGTCAGAAATAATTTTTCTGTGGGTCTCACATGCACAGAAAAATTATGTTCGCCCAAATTAAAACTAATTTTTCTGTGTGTTAGTCCACACAGAAAAAATAAATAAACGCACAGAAAAACACATGCTTTTTTCTGTGGGCCTAGGTGAACTAACAGATAAATTCATTTCGCCCAGATTAAAAATAATATTTCTTTGTAGCCAGCCTCATAGGAAAAAAGAGTTAAACACACAAAAAAATCATTTAAAACAGTAGCAACAATATATTAAAATATATATTTTTTATACAGTAATTTCTGTGCATGACCAACAAAGTTTCATTCAAATAATACACAAATCAGTAGTTCATCACGAATGGAGTCAACACTTATGTCAATAATAGAATTAGTCTGATCTATCAGCTCATATATCATATATACAGATATGATATCTGGTCATCTACATGTTCAACATGAATACTACAACGAAGTACTGAGGAGAGGAGGAACCAGGCACCAAAGCAGAAGGGCTCCCACCACCTCCAGCTAGTGGCGGCATGGCATGGCGGATCGCTTGACCGAGGCGTTAGCGTGTGGAGGGCGAGCCGCAGGAGGGCATCGTGGTGTCGGGGGCTGAGGGGCGCCGCCGCTGGGATCGATTCCGTGGAAGGAGGCGTCATGGTCGCGTCCTCGCGTGAGGCTCTCAAGGTCAGGGGAGGGTGCAGAGGAAGAAGAAGGCAGGGGGAGGGGGCGCCGGGGTTCGGGTGTGGGACGGGTGCGGAGGAAGACGGGACTTTCTTTGTTTATTTATTTATTTTTTCTGTACGTGCATATATTTTTCTATGCGTTTTTAAAGAACCGCAGAATAAATTGTATTTTTCTGTGAGTGCTTATTTTTTCGTGTGTGTATTGTCACGCACAGAAAAATCATACAATTATTCTGTGGGTTTTCGTATTTTTCTGTCGGAATATTTTGAAACCGACAAAATAATCGTAATTTTTCGCGCGCATAAAAAACGCGCGCGAAAAAAATTCGTCACCCACGTAAATATTCGAGTTTCGATGAGTGTGAGGGCGCCGCGCGGCGTGTT